GCTCAGCTGGTCACTGGTCTCTCCCTCTCTCTGTCTCTCCCTCTCTCTCTCTCTCTCTCTCTCTCTCCCTCTCTCTGTCTCTCCCTCTCTCTGTCTCTCTCTCTCGCTCTCTCTCTTGTGTCGCTGCTGGAGGGCACGGGCATAAGATGAACTGCTAGCCCCTGGTGGACTGGTCACGCTCAGACGGCAGAAGTGCGAAGTGAGGTGAGGAGACGGGGATCTGGGGTGGAATGTGCGGCTCACGTGTCCAACCTGCGAATGAATGTGTGTTTCATTCACAACTCTGTGGTCAATATGCTGTGGTATGATCAATAGAGATCACATTTACTCTGAATTTGGTATTGCAATAATTAATCAACCATTTAGTTTGTTATTTACATGGTCATTAGAAAATGCAATAATATTGTTAAACTGCTATTTATATACAACTAAGCTAATACAACTCTATGGAAAAGACGCAATTTTTAAAAGAAACTTAGAAAATAGATGACCAAATGTTTGAATGCATTTGTTGACAATCCACAAAAGCAGAATTTGTGGATTGTCCCAGGAATTACAGATTAAAAAGCTATAAACTAAGACCAAAATCTAATTCAAATCAATTTATTTTCCTATACGTCTATCATATTTGTATTTGCTCTATGTGTCACGGACGGCTGGCCAAAAAGTCAGGGGCGAATAGTTTACAGGTTTTTGACATTGTCCTATAGTTACCAGGGAATATTTTTTCAGTTGCCCTCTACCACAAATTTAAAGGCATTTTTAAAAAAAAGATTATCAAATATTTCTCCAGATCATTATTTGATAGTGATAATATGTACTGTTTAGTCTGAAAATGTCTGCTTCTGCATATCCTCTCTGAATATTGTCATCACTTTTATACACCTTTTTCAGAGAGAAATGTATTAGATCATAGTTGATATGTACAGTCAAAGAAAATGTGTAACTTTTTGACTTAGTACTTGTGGATTGGTCAAGGAATTACAGGTAAATCAGCTATAAACTAAGACCAGACACCTAATTCAATTCTATGTATTTTTGTAAAGCCCTATTTAACAGAAGCAGTCGTCTCAGAGGACTTCACAAATGTATTGATTCGCCAACTACAGAGAAGAGAATCAAATAGCTCAAGCACTGCAAATATATTGATAACAAGTACAAAGGAGCCATTGGTCCATGGGAAGCAGGATTACAAAAGTCCATAAATGTGAATAAATGTCTCCATTGTGGTGGAGGGAAATCGTATAGGCTTTATTGGAATTTATTTTTTCACGATTCAAAACTGAGAAGCCCCCCCTCCTCAAAGTCACCACGCTTAGATGGCAGAGTTTGGACAGCGTTACAGATTTGAACTTTTAAATAATCATATTGGCCTTGAAAAAAGATATAGGGTAACCTCTACTGTGTGAGAAAGCAAGGCGAAAGGATGAGAAGGTGTTGTGTCGGGCTGTTGTAGCAGAGGGCAGAGTGAAGGAGAGTATCGGGGTTCCTTAATTGTGGACAGGTCTGGCTTTGTGCTTCACTAGGCTGAGACGTATCGGCGCGCCTGTCAGAGATGCCTTAGTGCTTGTCTTTGTACAAACAATAGTGGGCTGCTTCTGCTGCTGTGTATATGGGCTTGCAGTGCGCAGATCAATGACAAACAGGCTGGAAATGCATCTGTGGATTTAGAAATGGGAATTAAATGTATTGGAACCATGGCCTGATGTATTAATGGCAGAATTTGTCTTGCTGCATCTAATGATTTAATAATTTATTTTGTCATAAATCTATTTTTTATATTTTAGGTGAAAAATTAAAGGGACTGTAGGAGACGAGTTAATATTAGGGTGACGAGTCAAGTTACATTTATCAAATACACATATTTCAAAATATAATACATCACTTCCAGTCCTATGGGTTTGTCCTTTACTTTAATAATCTCATTTTAGATTTAGTTTATCCATGCTTTCTAGAGCAGGTAGTACCTGAAATGCCATATTTCCTATGCATATTGAATGTGAAATAGTGAAAACCAGTGATCAAGACCAGGGATTGCCAAACTTTTTGGAGCGGGGGCCCCAAAATAAACTCAATTTCTACTCAACACCCCAATACACAGCAACAATGAAAGTAGCAATAATTTGAATCATCAAACCTTAACTGTTTGAGTCGTTTATAGCGTTGTCTGACTTCATTTGTCTTAAAACACAGTGTTTATTAACCAAACTGTCAAATAGAATTAAATAATAACCCTAACCCTTAAAAAACAATACAGAATAAAGAATGCATTGTATGGTTCACAGGTTCCAAGAAATCCCAGAGGTACAGTGATAAACATAATGTGTATTCAAAGCGGCTCTGGGGTAGCCCAATCTCATTTGGTTCCAATGACTCAATTTCAGGACCATGGACAGAGACAGAACTCAAGTAAAATGGAGTAGGGGAAAACATGCACATTTTAATAATCAAAAAACCATTAACGAACACCCTGTAATTGATTTTAGAACAAAGCGTGGTATTTATGGAACATTATGAAATGCAAGTGCAACAATGACAAATCATCTGTGTATTGGATAGAACAAAAGTCTTTGATTGTCAGAGGCGCCATGAGGAGCTCTTCAAACAATCATTATCTAATAGGAAAATATAAATGTGGTACCATTACATGTATGAGTCAAATTAAAGTTAACTTAGTGTGTATTGTATATGACAAAGGAAAACAATAATAATCTGATTAAAAGATAGCAACAACATAAAAGGTTAGATTATGTGTAAAAGGTAGATGTAAATATGCCTCTCTTAATAGATTTCACTACATCTTGACTTGGCTCAGGGTCATAACTGCTGCCCCTTAGATGAAAGTGAAGACAAAGTGCCATCTGCTCATGAAGTGATAGCCCGAGGCGTGCACTGGACACAACTGATGCACAGCAAAAGGTATTTTCAGAAAATTCAAGGAAAATTACCAAAAACTACACATACAACAGCTCTATCTTTGTAGCATGTTCAACTGTTGTAGCTCCATATTTGGGGACAAAGGCCAACTTTTTGCTTTTAAATAATAGGGGCGTTTGCTAAAAGAATTGTTAGTGACTTTTTCAACACAGTGAAGATCAAAACCTTTGTACAAAATGAGCCGCGACAGTGATTAGAAGAAAAATACCCTAAATGAGGTTTTCAAATGGTCTAAATGACCCAAGGGCCAAGTTAGGAAAAACTATCCAAATTCAGCTCAACATTTTTTTTATTTAGGATATTTTTCATCACTGTGGCGATCACCTGAGCATAAGTCAGATTTTAGGATATTTCACAACAACACTGGTCATTGGCGTAGCAGCACACGTTTCCAAGACAAGTCAACAACACATCAGGATGGAATTAATACATTGAAGGTTTTTTTTTCCCTGAGCAGATTTTTGTGGCTAATTGTCTTTTTGGCAGCTTCCGGCATGTGTTTGGAAAGAGTCCTTCTTTAAACCTTGAAGCTTACATAGTGTGCCTTTAAAAACAGGAATGACCTCAGAAAACACTGAATGTAAAGTAATGTAAGGATAGTTCTAAGTGGCAACTGTGAGTGAAAAGCCGGCTGACTCAAACTGGGCTCGGCAGCAGTTTAACACAGGCTAAGCACACTGACCTTTCCAACTCACTCTAATTAAATGTTCCAGAAAGCTTAAAAGCCTCGTTAGAAGAAGAAAACTCAAACAATACTTTTACACAATCCACATTCGATTTGTGGTGAGCAAACAGATTGAGGAAGCGCGATTTAAATAATTATACTGTGCCTGATTACATGTAATCACCATAATTATAAAGGCTGATTTAGTGTTTACACATATGTAAATGAGAGATAAATGAGCGTAAAAGATGCGCTCGAGGGATGAGGATATAAAGGAGCTGAGAGACAATCTGATTACTCCAGAAGATTTGAGTTATTTTAGAATTAGTTCAGTGTAATTATTCTTGATTGTTAAAAAGGGCACTTCCTGCATCGTTCTCATTAAAAACTTCATATTGACTTCAGCAAGACTTTGTCCAGGGCATTTTAATGTGTGGAGACGACAGTTTTACTGAGAGCACTTGCGATTTTTGTTGTTAGCACTGCTGCTTCGACTAAACCCACAGCCAATAACTTTAATCCAGTCTGTATGAATGTTCAATTTTCCTGGTTTTTCTATGGCATAATATAAAATGTTGTAATTAGCACTTCAAATGATGATCAGGGTGGATTTGGTTTCCGTTGGAATGTCACTTTGTACAAAATGTTCAAAACACAATAAAAAATAAAAATAAATTGGTATTTGACTCACTTGCATTTCTTAAAGTTTGAGTATCTTATTTTGAAATCACACGTAATAACTACGTAGTAAAATCTAGGCATGTATATTTGGCCTCACATCTTTAAATCAGACTTTTCAGTGAAAAAGTGAGTACCGACCCTCACTCAGCTCTGAGTACTGTATGTATAATATATACATATGTATAGTATATAATGTTCTAATATCATTTTGTGGTTTGATTTGTTTCTATTGGCACAAACATGTATTTAGGGAAATGGCTCATTTCAGCACCATGGACAGAGCCTCCTGGTGGAAACACATAATTATGCAAAACATTGACATAAAATGTAATTTAGACAGCAACGTCTAAGTACATATAAGGCTGGGAGATACAGCAATAAACATCATAATGTGAGCTAAATCCTGTGATAATATTCTCTTTTAGTGTGATTATCATTGTGATTCAGTAATTTTCTTTATAACTCACACACAGAAATCTTCTGTTTCTACTATTGACTGAAAGCCGAAGAGAGAAAGGAGTCATTGGAAAAAGAGATCTATAATAGCAGATTTCATATGCAACAGCAAAGTATGTGTTTTACTACAGAGAAATCTGTAGTATTCTTCTGTGATCATTCAATGAACTTCAATTCAAAGTTGTGTAATATCGTATGCACATGATTTGTAATTTCCAATATCACTATTACTGCTTGTCATTTCTGTAGTGAGTGGTCTTACCGAGCCGGGGGTCATACTGCCGCATCTGCACCTCCTCCACACAGTCGGCAGGGAACCAGCCAGTTCGTCCTTTCACCGTGCCTTCCCAGAATCCTCCTTCACCTATGCTCAATACTGAGACACACAAGAGGAACCACGGGTCAGTCATTCACTTTGTGAGGGGAGGGGGAGGGGGGGAGGGGGGAGGGGGGAGGAAGGGGCTGCTCCCTATGGGGGTCACAGGGTGTGAAAGGCTCATACAGGTACTGGTACAGGTATGATGAGATCATTTACACTTACAGTGTAAATAACTGTTTTGCTATGACAGAGTAGAGAGCTAAAATGAAGAAAATAAATATATAGTCACGTTGAAAATGGATTCAATTCAAAAAGAGTATACAAGCAATAAATCTTGTTTTAAGAGTATACATAAATAGTTATTTCTTGTCAGACACATCTTGAAACAAAAATCTCTGTTAAAAAAATGTTAGCCAAGTATTTCTTTGTTTTTTTAATGATTCTATTGGCATTTGAGGGAAAGGGAGGAATGATACATTTAAAGCAATGTTGATTTTTGTACACTGAATCAGATAAACAAATAATGCATTTGATTTAATGGATAAAGCCGAACGAAAATAAATACTACTATAATATTCAGCTGCTAGAGAAATATAAATCTATGTTGTGCAAATAACACAACAAAAACAATACCTTTATTTTAACCACAGCCTCAAAAGACTCTGATTCAAAACATATGCAATGAATTAAATTCAATTCAAATCAATATTTTATTATTTTCTCAATTAATGCTTCTCATCTGTACCCTTACCAGTTTTCCCTAAGTGTAAAGAGCTTGTAAGGGGAGTGAGGGAGGAGGGGAGGGAGGGAGGGAGGAGGGGAGGGGAGGGAGGGAGGGAGGAAACAGTTACAGTAATAGTTAACTGGTTCTTGTATTGGACAGTGGTGTGACAAAGGAATGTAACAATATGTCAGTGTAATGGGCTCTGTGCGCAGCGGCTCTGTGGTTATAGCTCTATGGGGTTTTTGCCCCAGACTCGCTCTTAAATATATAAATACTTAAAGATCACACAATTCACAACAAGTTTTGTGAACCACTGACAAAAGGTCCAGGACTTTATTTATGAGACCAATGCTTCACCAGAGAAAACACTACAACTGACAATGCAATGAATGTATATTTAATGAACATGAGCTCAAAATAAATAATCACTCAATCAAAAATGGCATAATAATTTCTGCAAATTTAGGGGAACTAAGAGCGATCATGATTAACTGAAAAAAAAACAATAAAAAATATATCAGGGATGGGTAGAATGATACTAAATAAAAATGGTGAAAGCCCGCCCTGACGTGATCTGGTTACATTCCTTGTCGTGGCACTTACAGTAACATGTGTTTTGAAAACAAAGGGACAGAGGCGTGGGAAAAGCAGTGGTGTTTGCCGCAGCAACAACAGGGTGGCGTGAAGAGGCTGCTGTGGTAATTAGAAATGAATGTATAGTTGATATTGATCTTCCCTGTCGGCCTGAGCCAGCGCGCTCATTTCTACAACAATCATCCATTATCCCAGTGAGCTACACGCGCTGTGCTCCTGTCCCTCCGGCCCAGCCTCTCCACGGGTTGCTAGGAGACCAGGTTACGGCTGTGCACACGGCGCGCTGAACGATGGAGTCCACTACCTCGACCACATGACCAAAACAAAAAGACGAGTGCTTTCATTTTGGAAGATGTACGAAGGGCTACATCCACGCTCCAGGCAGGGATGTAACGAATATCACCTTATCAAGTCCATGCTTGGAGAAGGCAACGTGTAAAAAACCCTCATTCACACATCGCCGACTAAATTAAGTCTCAAGTTTACATTCTGAATATTGAATCACAGAAGAAGGAACGTCTTCATGACGCGTTTGAGTTTTGCCTTTGATTTCTGCCAACGGTCTCCAACTCAAACACACAGACAACTCTCCTTTGTTATAAAGCATTGGAATGTCTTATTATTGTTAACGGCATCACTTCAAAGTGACTGCTGAGGAGCGATCACAGAAACCTGCACCATGGGACCATCATCAGTGCTGTATAATACATTTGGAAAAACATACAATAAACTAAGTTATGAAAGACTTGTACTGTGGAAAATGTGGAGTGTAGGGAAGTGTACATTATTCAAGCACGAAGCACTGTAAAATCAAGAGAAAAGCAGGTATGTAATGTTTGCCGTGTCTGAAGGAGGGCACAGCCTGAACCATCAAATGACGAGAATACAAACTTGGAGCTACCACTGCTGTTGATCTTTTAACCTTGGTATTAAAACCACAATTATAACATGGTAAAAAGAGGAATGAATTATCTTCAGGCCCAACAACTGGACAAACAGGGGAGAATGGTCATTGTACATCCATTTACATCAATATTCCTCATTCATACAAGACTGCATGTACAAACCTGAAGACACCAGTATCGGCTGAGCTAATGTGTGACTGAAATCACCCCAGTGGCAAGACAACTGTTTACAACAATGAAGGAGAATAAACTAAAACTGCCTGAAAAACGTATTCTGTAATCTGACCGGTATATTTTGTACTGTGGACCTCTTCATTGTATAACTGCTAAACTAGCCTGGTCTTACCATAACATCGTACTCATTTCATTTCGTGCATGTAGGGAAATGATAATTGAGTTTACGGACGGCTGAGGCCTAGTCTGGTCGTACCACAAAATAGTACTAATTACATTACTAAGGTCCGGAGGTGCTCCATTATGCTCCGTTAACAGATGGGAGGGGTCTGAGTTCACTGTGACGTATGTAATGCGCCCGAGTGAGTCGTTAGCGTTTAGCATTTAGCCTAGCCATCTCCTTTGACGCTAACGGAGCCTGTGGGGAGTAGCGCCACAATTTTTTCTAGCGATTACATTTGCTAAAGATTCCTCTTGCTCCGGCTTCAATTTCTTGATAGAACCAGACCGGATTACTTTACTATCGCATTTCTCGCCAAACTACGACCTTCCTGTTCGACGCAAACTCTTGACGTCACCCACAACTAACTACAACACCTGCCTTCCGTGCTCGCTGGTAGGTCGGTCGAAATTCAAGCGATTGTAGTTGCTAACCCAGGGACCAGACCCAGACGTTACATGCAGTGAAATGATGATTGAGCAGAGTTAACAGATGGCTAAGGTCAGGCTCCAGCTAAACATTATTATCTGAACAACTGAATGTATTAGTTCTGACCCACATTGTTGCTTTTATCTATATCTTAAGCATGCATCATTAATTTCTCAAGTGGTGGCGTCTCTGTTCGCATGCACATTGATACAAATCATATAAAAAGCGTTGCCTTCTTTTGTTCTATCTGGAAAGACTCAAATAAACCCGGTTACAGGTGCGATCACGACTGCCTCTGTCTTCATTTCTCAACAATGTATCGTAGAAAAACACTGAATTACTTTTAACTAGTTACATAGCATGCTTTGATGTTCCATTGTAAAAACATCAATACATTTTTGAAGCCTGGACCTGAATACTTGAGCCAGAATTTAACACAAAACAACTGTCTGTATGTGCCATCCTAAATCACTATATTACACATGGCTGACTGACACTGTGCGCCAAAACAAACACAGTAGTAGCAGCAATGGGGGGAAAGCTCCTCTTCAGTGGTAGCGAGAGTAAAGGCGCACTGTTTATCGACTCCCTGCTGTAAAAACATGACACCAGCACGCAGATGCTCTGCTGATGCTCTGCTCTGATCGGAGCTTAACAACCTGAGCCCGCCACTCTCCTGGGAACGCACCGCCTCACTCCTGTGCACTATGTGGATCTGCCTATTGTTTATGAATTATTCAATGGGACAACATACACTTTTTAAAGCTTTTATTCATGCTATAATGTGTTTTTTTTCTTCTAATATAACCACTCATGGAATTATTTAGCTCACCATACAACTTTTCAAAACAAATATTTTAGTTTTTCAAGTTTTTAATAGAAGTATTTTTGTGACAGTAAAAGCAATACTAGGTAAAGTCAGAGTGATGGAAGTGTGTATTAAGAAGTAATATGCACTGGCAGCCATATGGACAGAGGCTGACAAAAGCTTCTCCTCCATGTCTCATGTTCACTATCAGACTGCAGTCCAGTGAGGCCGGTGAGGCTGGAGGTGTACATTTGCCCTTGGTTAAGTCAGTCACGACTCATGGTTTAAAAATAGCCTCAGTGAGGATGCAGTGCTATTTATACTCTTCACACACCCAGACTGCAGCTCCGAGCTTCCCTGCTGAAGCGCGCACGTGCACTAGTGACGGACCATTGATCACATTTGAATTCCTGCGTAGCTTTGCTCTGGCTTTGAGCTGAGTCATCCTTTTTCTGGCTCTGTGCAAACATACACACACTCACTCACAGGTAGTAGAAGTGAGAATGAGTGGGCCAAGAAACAGGCACACAGCTGAATGAATGTAACAGGGTATGAATGAATGCACCAAACGACCGCACAGTGTGCATGTGTGCAGCAGTGTGCATGTGTGCTGAGCCAGGCGCATGGCTCTGTGCCACTAATACACTCACGCTGATTCCAGCAGGATGCCTGGACTCGGGCCAGAGCTACAGTAGAGCTACACTTATAAACATGGCAATATTACTGTGCAAAACCATCAATAATGAACTCTGGAAATCACTTTTTAATCATATCATGATATTCCTAATATAGATGTGGCAGGTATGTTGACAAAGTTACATGTGTTGATCATGTCCAGATTAGTAACATTATTAATCCTAAAGAAAGGCATCAGTAAATATGTAAGAAACTTTCAAACAAACCATGGCACTAGATAATCCAAATCATCAATAGCTGCAGCATATCGTAATTTAACCTCAGAAATGTGAAAATAGGTCAAACTAAGAACCACTGCCACCATACAGTACAGAATATTTATCTTACAAATGACTGCAGTCTCATTCCATCCATCCATCCATTTTCTACCCTTTAATCCATTTCTGGGTCAGGGGGGTGGCAGTCAGAGATGCCACCCAAGTCTCATAGCACCAGCCCCTCACTGACCCTCTGCAGGTGGTGAGTCCACAGGAGGACGGCTGCTCTCTGAGTGTGAGCATAGCCTTG